AGGAAGGAAGGAAGGAAGGAAGGAAGGAAGGAAGGAAGGAAGGAAGGGAGGGAGGGAGGGAGGAAGGGAGGGAGGAAAGGAAGGGAGGGAGGGAGGAAGGAAGGAAGGAAATAAAGGGAAGGAAGGAAGGAAGGAAGGGAGGAAAGAAAGGAAGGGAGGGAGGGAGGGAGGGAGGAAATAAAGGGAAGGAAGGAAGGAAGAAAGGAAGAAAGAAAAGGAAGGGAGGGAGGAAGGAAGGAAGGAAGGAAGGAAGAAAAGGAAGGGAGGAAGGAAGGAAGGAAGGGAGGGAGGAAGGAAGGAAGGATGGAAGGAAGGAAGGAAGGAAGGGAGGGAGGAAGGAAGAAAAGGAAGGGAGGGAGGGAGGGAGGAAGGAAGGAAGGAAGGAAGGAAGGAAGGAAGGAAGGAAGGAAGGAACCCAGCAGAGAGGGTACCGAAAAAATATCATCACCTGTTCTAAGACCAGTCCTGGATTTAATCAGAATAATCCAACGTCTGTTTTTTTAAGCTGTCTGTGAGCAAAATGTTTGGACTGCTCTCCTTTCCCTTGTGTCTTTCAGAGCCCCATTTCCTTCACGCCATCGAGTACGGGAACTTTGTTTATTTCTTCTTTCGAGAGATTGCTGTGGAACATAACAATTTAGGCAAGGTAAGACTAAATGCAGACGCTTGTTACGATAAGTGGCACGGAATCTCAGAGTTGATCTCTTGAGGCTTACAAGGGCATGGACTGCCTCCTATTTGTTTCTACAAGGGTGGTATTTTCATACTTTGGCTTGCTGAAGAAGGCCGTGGCATGTCCCTCTTCCTTTTCTCTTTTGGTTGTGCCGCTTTGTTCTCAAACCAAGACCTCATGTTCAGTTATATTTTATTAAGATTGAAAGTCTAAGCAGGACCCCCAAAGTCACGGGGGGAGGGGGGGATAACGGTTCTTCATTTTGTCTCCCTCAAAAGTCACATTTGTTCTTTGTTTTCCTTCCTCTATTATTTTTCCTTAACATGCCACACACAATGTAACTGTCATTGTTTCAGTGAAACTCCCCATTTCATTCAGCACTCAGAAACAAAAGTTCATCCAAGTAAGAATTTGTTAAGGAAGTCATATTGGCACATCTGGGAAAAGCCGAATCTGGAAGTTCTGGGTTTTCCCTTCCCAATTGAAATTCAAAGATCCATTCCCCTGCACCCACTAGTCCAGTGGCTAGCCTTTTTGGGCTCCAGTGCCAAAAATTGTGCACGCACCAGTGTGCATGCACTCATGTGCCAGCACCCAGAATGCAATGTGCGCCCTCCCCTTTGCCCCCTGTGTATGCACGCAATCTCCCCCCTCCGACCACCCTCTTACCTGCACTGCTCCTCACAGCTGATTTTTTGGCTGGTTTGAATCCTTTTTCAGCCTCCCAGAGGCTTGGAAAAAGCCTCTGCAAGGCTTTTCAGGACAAATTATAGGCCTGTTTTGTCACTTCCGGTATTACAGGAAGTGATGAAACGGGCCTATAATTTGGCCTGAAAAGCCTTGCAGAGGCTTTTTCCAAGCCTCTGGGAGGCTGAAAAAGGCCTCAAACCAACCGGGAAAAAAAATCCGCTGTGAGGCGCACGCATGCGCAGTGAGGTAAGTTTGCCTGCGGCTTGTGTGCTAGCACAAATGGCTCTGCGTGCCATTGTGGCAGGCATGCCATAGGTTTGCCATCACGGCACTAGTCCATCCCATAGCCCAATCAACCATCGTCCCAACTGGAGACACTCCTCTCCAGGTGCAGGGTAACTTGTCCTTGACTTTATGAGAAAGAATGTTGTTGAGTCTAATCTTCCACCTCTCGATGAAATTCCCCCCTCCCAAATTCCCAGGCATTAAATGTGGCAGCCTCGAAGCTTCTAAATAAAACATGGCTTCCAAGGCTGACAATAACACAACTGTGGCATTATTCACCTTCAATTTAAGACTGAAACCCTTTTTTCGTAAAACAAATAGTTTTGATGCCATTTGCAGTTCATTGTGAACACTGTTAAGTTTGAGGCATGGGTTTTAATGAACGGAGACCAGACTGTAAACCATGAACTTCAGCTCTTTAATCACAAGCATAACAGAGACAAAAAACCCCGGCTAGCAGTCACTCTTTTATAGAGTAAGCTGCTATCCGGATAACCAATGTATAGCGTTATAGCGTTTGAATCTTGGCGCGGCCCGCCAACAGCCAATCAGATTGCTCGGAATGAACCAATCATAACTTGCCATTATATGGACCAATAGGAAGTGCAGGATTACGATCCTGCTATGCAAATGAATCTTTATTAACTACATTTCTTTAGTTCACAACAAACACTATACTTAAGTTTAAGAGTCAGATGGGTATGTCGCAGTGGTGAAGACACCAGGCTAGAAACTAGGAGAATGTGAGTTCTAGTTCTAACTTAGTTACAAATGGCAAACCCACTTCCAAAATCTTGCCAAGGAAACTGCAAGGATCTGACTCAAAAGGGACAGTTAATTAATTAATAATCTTTGAATGCAAAATGTAAATCACCTTGTGCCTAATAACATTGACATTTCAGTCATAATTAACACTAATATAAACTGCTTAAGGGTCTAAGTTATCTTAGATAACTTAGCATAAATAGCCCACCGGGTTGAAGTCAGTGGTCTGTTCCACTAACTTATGTCTTATAATAATATAATAAAACTTTTTTTTTTAACATTTTGCCAAGAGACGTCTCCTAAATTCCACATCCCGGTGCTATATTGGACTGAACTAGATGTGTAGCTCAGAAAAAATATGAGCAGCAATGTCCATTGTAGCCTTTTCTGGTGCGTTTTTTCCTTCTTATTTTTCACCTGCTTGACCTTTTACTCCTATTCCCAAGAAGCAGGCTGTGAGGAAGAGAACATAAATAGTTTTTACACCGGTTTGACCCTTTTAACAACAAAGTCTTTGAAATGAAGCCAAGAGAGAAATCTGTGTGATCAGTGCAGGTTGCTCTAAAACAAAAAGACAAAATGTACGTGGTCTTAGCATTCAATTTTTGTCGATTTTTTTCTCTCTTTAAAATGAAGACCTCAGTCTTTGATGGGGCTACTGCTTTGTTTCATCTGAGGGCAGGACAAGAAGCAATGGGTGGAAACTAATCAAGGAGAGAAGCAACTTAGAACTAAGGAGAAATTTCCTGACAGAACAATCAATCAGTGGCTTGCCTTCAAAAGTTGTAGGTGCTCCATCACTGGAGGCTTTTAAGGAGAGGTTGGATAACCATTTGTCTGAAGTGGTATAGGGTTTCCTGCCTAAGCAGGGGGTTGGACTAGAAGACCTCCAAGGTCCCTTCCAACTCTGTTATTCTATTGGCTATCCTTTTGACTGACTGCATTTCATCATGGGTGATAGTACGTGACACTTGCCTTCCTTTTTCTCTCTCGAGCATCGTCCGTTTTTAGGACGGCCCTTGTCTTCAGAGCTCAGGGCAGCGTGAACAAAACCTTCCTTCTTCGTCTCCTCACAGCCATATCTATTTATTTTTTATATTGTTACAATCTCCTCAGAGCAGACTCTGGGCAGTTAACTTCGTAAGGCATAAAAACCATAATAAAATGTGGCAATCAAGACTTAAGTACAAAACCTCATAAAATAATCATAACAATCTAACCGACCAAAATCAAAACAGATCCTGTCCATTATTTCCCCTAAATCACTCTCAAATAGTTCCATCTTAACTAAATTTTTCAATTACCAGCCAGAATATAATGCAGAGAACAATCAAGGTAAGTTGCACGGCTGAGCGGAGCTAGAGATGTAAATCTCCTTGCTCTGAAGACATTATTCTTGCTACTTTGCTAAATGACCTGATCCTTTATTGCCTCTTCTTTCCCTCTTCCTTCTCTGCACATCACTCTTGGGGTCTCACCTGGCTCATCTGTATGCATGGATAGGTTAAAATTTAAAAAGCCCCAGACTTTTAACTAAGGAAAATCGTTCTGAGTCCAGAACTTTATTCTCTCCCTCCCTCTCCCTCCCTCTCTCTCTCTCTCTTTCTCTCTCAAAAAATGATACATTACTACAGCATTGGTTCCCAATGCATTAATCAGTATTCAATTAGGGGGATAATAGGTGTATATGTTGTTGTGGGGTGTTTTTTTAATACACCTTTTTTCTTTCTTAATGTTTTGATTGTTTTGTGGTTTTTTTGTGTGTGTTTTTTTCTTTTGGGGGAGTTTTTTGTATTTTAACTTTGTCTCGAATGAAAACAACAAGAAAAAAGATATAACCATTGGTTTATTTCCTTAACCACCTGTTTTATCTCTCTGTTCAGAAACTGGGGAACAGTTGGGGATGCTAATGTATATATGAGAAACCAAAGATATTTTGTCTAGAAGCTACCAAGTTGCTAATCTATAACCAAGCTTGGCTTCCTTTATTTTTATTTCTTTATTTGTGTGTTTGTTTATCCATCTCAATAATTGACTCTGGACTTCAATTCTGTGGATTTAGAATAGGACAGAGTTGCATAAATGAAGCTTGAGAGAATATCTCAAGGGCATATGTGTATCTTTCATACACACACCCAAAAAACTTTGTTGTGGCCCTCTCCAAAAATTGTTGGCAATTTTGTAATCTTGAATATGTCAGAAGGGGTAAATACAACGAATGAGAATGAAAACAAATTTATCTCGGCCCCATCAACCTGTCGGAATGTAGCTGGAATTCCACTCAAAGCCAAGGACGCTGTGATATCGTCCAGCATAAACACTCTAAAATCAATCTGATCAACAAAGTGATAGATAGAAAGGGTGGGTAAAGGACTCCTGACCCAATCCAAATCAAAGCCCAAAGGTGCTTTTTCCAAAAGGCAACTGGACTTTCTTGGTTTTTGTTTTTTGTTTCCCTTTTGCTTCTCACCCAAGAAGCTTCTTCAGTTCTCCATAGATAAATCCAAATCAGAATTAATTCATTCATTGGCTTTAATTAATGCTCTTGCTAGATCTTATATTTGAGGCTGATTTTAACCAAGTTATTGTAACGTAGGTACTGATGACTCAGTACGAAATGCTCGCATTGACCTCTGTTCGTCTTTTGGCTGTATTGTTTAAATCCAAATCAAACCAATTCCGATCTGACTTGGTTCAAATATCCAAACAGGACTTTTGTGGGATGAGATGGATTTCGTGTGGTTTTTCCAAACCAGTCCCAAATTAAAACATGTTTTCTTTCCTTCCGAGTTATCTGATTCAACAATCCAGTTTGACTGTCTGATTCAAGTCGCAGAATCCGTTCGATTGAGAGATTCCGTGAAATCCCCTTCGAACTGACTCTCCCAATCCAAGTTTTGCCTACCTCTTCACCTATCTGTCCATCGAATTGTCTGCCTTAACGGAGACTTTTGTGGTTGTTCTTGCTCTTCTCCTTCAGGCTGTGTATTCCCGCGTAGCTCGCATCTGCAAAAATGACATGGGAGGCTCTCAGAGGGTGCTGGAAAAACACTGGACGTCCTTCCTGAAAGCACGTCTCAACTGCTCAGTGCCTGGAGATTCGTTTTTCTACTTTGATGTGCTGCAGTCTATCACGGACATCATTGAAATCAGTGGCATCCCTACCGTGGTCGGTGTTTTCACCACGCAGCTGAACAGGTGAGAGAATAACCAACTCTACATCGAAAAAGGGAAGCCCTGCCAATCACTGTTGGCACTAACCAAACAGTCTAGCCTTTTTTTCCCCTGACAGCCTCTTTTGTGCCTCTTTGGCAGCATCCCTGGCTCAGCAGTTTGTGCTTTCAACATGGAAGACATTGAGAAAGTCTTCAAAGGGAGATTTAAAGAGCAGAAAACTCCAGACTCTGTTTGGACAGCTGTACCCGAAGACAAAGTGCCGCGGCCAAGGTAAAATATTTGTATACGTGGGCGGTGCAAAGCTTCACTGGCGTGACTTGATTTGAAGGTGTTTTGATTGCACACTTGGACAGCTATCTCAAAGCAGCTTATCAAGGCATCAGCCCCACCTTTAGAGGCTGAAATATGGTGCCTCCAGGGCTTTGCATTTAGTAGATAACTTTGCTCTGCAGCTTGAAGTTCACCCGGAATTGTAGGCAATGTCACAATACTACCCAACACTGGAAAAGTTTTGCCCGGCAGTAGGAATTCACTCCATCTTGAACAGATTCACAGAGTTGGAAGGGACCTTGTAGGTCATCTAGTTCAACCCCTCCTGCCCAAGCAGGACCATTTCTGACAGATATCAGTCCAGTCTCTTCTTGAAAGCTTCCAGGGATGAAGCTCTCACAACTTCTGGAGGCAACTTCTGTTCCATGGGTTGATTGTTCTCACTGTCGGAAAATTCCTCCTTATTTCCAGGTTGAATCTCTCCTTGATCAGTTTCCATCCATTGTTCCTTGTCTGGCCTTCAGGTGCTTTGGAGAATAGCTTGACCCCTTTCTCCTCCCTGTGGCAGCCCCTCAAATATTGGAAGACTGCTCTCCTGTCTCCCCTGGTCCTTCTCCTCACAATCCACATCTTTCATAGGTAGAACAATTTGACTAGAGTGCAGACAGAGAACCAGAAGCCCAGAATAACAGGAGTTGGAACCTTTGAGGTCTTCTAGCCCATCCTCATGCTCAAGCAGGAGACCCTATTCCATTCCAGACAAATGGCTGTCCAGTCTCTTTTTACAAGCCTTCAGTGATGGAGAAGGAAGGAAGGAAGGAAGGAAGGAAGGAAGGAAGGAAGGAAGGAA